TGAAGTGTCTTGCCCAAGGACACAACGACACTGAAAGTCGGAGTCTGGGCTTGAACCGTCAATCCTTCGATTTCAGGGCAAACTCCTACATCCAACGCCACTGTCGCCCCTTCCTCTTAGCTAATTCTCTAAACAATGTTCTCCAGATATGATCCAGATGCCTCCCTTTTGAGGTGTTCTTATCTAACTGAAAGAAGACCCCAAGGAAGACCTAGAAATCTCTGGAGGAACTAAATTACTCATCCCTTTTGGCTTTAAATGATCCTCCTCAATGACTTGAAGAGCATGGTGGACGGTCAGCTGATCTCGGAGAAGCGGAAGATATTTGTAGCACTCTCAGAACACAAATGCTCTGCTCCTAACACTTCACCACAACACCTTTTAGAACAAGAGCGGAAAAAATGAAATAAAGGTACTATTACTGCTTATCAGTAAAAATAATAAATGTCTGTAATGGTGACTAACTGGGCCTGAGAAACACCGTGAATCACGATGTACCAGTGATTTATAGTGCTCTCTAATCCTGGCATTGTACAGCAATTAAATCCCTTTTTTGGGTTTATTTCCTACATTTTTCTCTGATCATTGTTGAGACGAAAACATCCATGTCTTATGTCTGTAATATCTTCTGTTATATATTCAAATTGATGTTGACACCTCAAATTCTAAGTTCACTTTGGACTAAACTTGATCTTAGTGCCTACAAACTAAAGTTAGGAAAGAGAAACTCAAAGTTGTTTGAGTGAAGGCAATTATCTTGATTCATAGCATTTCTATGAATAATATTTCTCTTAGAGAAAAATCCAGGTGTCACAAAAGTTGAAAGTTTGATATTTTGCTCAGCTGCTTTTTTTTCATGATTTCTTATTTTTCTTGGCAGGAAATGTCTAACAGGCACCACATTCCCAAATTAGAAGGTATACTGTTGAAGAAAATGGAAGTTTGTGACCAAAAGAGTTCCTGTAAAATTAAAAAGTGCTCAGACAAACATAATTGAAGCTCTGCTGGAGCGTGAGCTCACCATGATGTCTGGCTGACCCTGACAAAGGTTTGTGTTTCCTTTCCTGGATTCTCTGGGGGTTCATATTTTTTCACTTCCATTAATCATCCTGTATTTTCTAACCATTTAATCCTTGTTTCGGTGTGCAGAGGTGCTATGCAGCTGCTGCATTCATGGACACCATCCAGTAGGTGGTCAGGCACTTGCATGAGCGCACATATAAACTAAATATCTCCTTTGTCAGAACTTTTCATAATAAAAAGGCAGTTTATGGATGGCTGTGTCAGATAGAGGTCCGTACACAGCCTAAACTGAAACATTTAAACAATAACTGGACGGTTGCATAAATATTACTCTGAACAGTCAGACTCCTGGATGAAATGCCCCTTAGAAACAGTTTCAACATCCTCTCACTCTGTAACATGAATATCAGGATAAAAAAAGTGTTTAAGAAATGTTGAAAGCATTAAGAGGTGATTGTTAAGTGTGGTTAACAATCGACAGAAATCCTGTTTTTACTATCTTTACTGCTTCAGCTTTTACGGTGGTAATTCATCGGCTGTTTGTTGCTATGTATGAAGAGTGATCAGATGCATTTCAATCCGAAAAACTCACACGAAGACAAAAGACAATTAGGAGAAATTTACCGGTATTGATACAATTACTTAGTTTTTCGGGCTTAGACCTCGGCAGGAAACATAGTGCTTAATTTTGATAGATATGCATGAACAGAAGCAAAGAATAGGGCTGTTTCCCCCCCAGGCCTGAAGCTGGTGGTGGAACGGAGATAGATGATGTTGGTCAGTCTGTAGACTGCTGGTTAGTGATACGGTATGCTGAGCTTTATGGGGAGATCCAATGGACTGCGTGAGCTGATTCTAGAGCTTCACTCAGGGAACTGGAAGATGGAAGTTCAGTTGGATAACACAGGTTGAGAGAACCTGTCCATGATGAGCAAGCATGAAGCGACAGTGGAGAAGAAAAACTCCCCGTTGGGAAGAAACCTCTGATAGAACCAGGCTCAACATGGCGGTCTTCTGCCGGACCGGTTAACATGAGACACGGAACGCAGTAAGAGTTCGGGACGAATGACAATCTGATGAAGCTTTAGCTACGATGGTGGAGGAGAGGCTGGAGGTGGTTTGAAACAGTGTCATCTGAATAAAGTCACAGCGCATCCACCGCCCGCGCACAGGAGCACACAAGTGGATCGGAGGCCTTTTAAGATGAACTTTGGATGCTGATTGGCTTTCGTAGAGGTGTGGTTCGAAGCTGATTGGCTGTGTCGCAGGTGGATGTAGGAGAGCAATGAGTTTCCTCTGTTGAACTTCAGCCTAGGCTCCATTTAGCTGCAAAGTTATTTAAATGGATAAAAAGAAAACAATACAAAAAACTCCTCTTACTTCAGCACTCTTCTGGTTAAGTCAGAGGACAATGTCAATAAGAACATCAGCTGATGTTGCTCTAATTTTATATTGAGTAAAAGAGCAGAATGTTAGCTTTTCTTTTGTCAACCACATTTACCTCAATGGTTTGTCTGACGTCGTCAAGGACCTCAGAGTTAATTATTCAGCTACTGTTAAGTCAACAATCTGTTGAATCATTAAGAACATCAAGAAGAACAGATAAATTCCTGAGAAGAAAGAAATTTGACCAAAAAAAATCATTAATTGCAAAGAATTCAATTAATGCACCAGATTATACCTGCACCAGTGATAATCTGGTAGGTTTTAATGGAGGGAGGTTTAAATGTCTTTGGGAGGGTCATTGAAGAAGAGAAAAGTTAATTGAAAAATACAATATGAAGATCAAAAGTCCAGGTTAGCAAGTTTTTACTTGCTAACCTGGAATTATTGCAAAGTTATTAGACATGAAAAAAATAACAAAATATGAAACTAGAGTTGAAATTGTCCTACAACATAAAAGTATGGATAGGTATTTGTGAATATTTATAGAAAAGGTGCTGAAAAAAGTATTCCCTCCCAAAAAAACATAAAATGTCTTAAAAATAATTCTGGCTATCAAATAAAAAACAGTTCAATGTTACTTTTTTCCCGATAAAAATTTTTTTTTGTCACACTAGTTGTACTTACAATACCGTTAAGATTGAATTTGCATTGGTTTAAGTCCATTTTGAGTCTGCCTTAAACATGCTTTACTCTGGGGGTGCCTTAAGGCACACTGTCAAAGTAGGTATTCACTAACAATGTCCTGTGAACAAGCTTTAAAACATCTTCCAATATCAGCTGTACCCGACAAACCTGGATAAATGTGGTTTTACTATTGGTTTTGACTATTTAATGTAAAAGCCTGTTACTTCCACCCATGTTCAGATCTCAAGAGGTCTTTTGGAAGAGAGGCAAAAAAGCTATAAGAAACAAGAAAGTTGTCCAGGTATGTCCTAGAAAGGTACTTATGAATTTTATAGCCAGAGGACTGAGAATTTAAATAATAAAAGGTTTTGACATAATTTTTTACCAAAACAAATTCTTTAATATTTTCTTATTTTAAATAATTATTGAGGATTGCACCCACAAATGCAATACTGATTAAAATTTGTATTTTATTTTTTTTTTAAGAATGAAAACACTATAACCTTTTGGTCCACATGTAGGTTGGTCTGTTTTCAAACCCTCAGCTTGAATCTCTTTTCCATCACACCCCTGGGAAGTATCTTATAGCCCTTAGGCGGTACAAAACATTAGACTAATAGTAACATATGTGATTCATTTGGAAATACCACCATTTTTCCAAAATTTGCTTAAGAGGTATCACATAGAGACAAATGTGGCCTTTTTCCTCCTCTACCATCATCTCTGGTGCTTCAGACATTTAGCCAAAGCCCTATGTTGTCACAATCAAATAAGATTAGCTCATTCCCCTAAGGTTATTCCGTGTTTTTACCCATTCACTCAGCCACTCAATGCTTAAGTGACACTGAGAAGCTTGATTCCTAAGTAACATTTTGGCTGCATGAGGCAAAACGACAGAGTAGATGTCTCCTTTATCGCCCGTTAGCTTTTCTCTGAGTTTCATTCCCAGGGAAAATCCTACCATCCACAACTATTTAAGCAGCTTTTGGCCTTTCTTGGACTTATCAATGCAAACAGCTGTGTGCTGTAGCCCAGCAGTCCATCGGCGACACCACTGACTCAGGGCTGGAGTTTGACCTTTGGGTGTTCTTTGTTTCTTTTTCAGATGTTATTGAAACAATTTTTGATGAGACAACCCATGTGTAACTAAGGAAACTCTCACTTGAAGAAAAAAAAAAACTTTCTTGTATAATTTAAATAAAGGTTATATGTTTCCACTTATCAGCCAAAGGAAGGCCCTGAGGAGGCAGAGGGCTGCAGGATATAATCAAGAATAATACTCAAGAAAACAGAGGGATTGTGTGCAAAATAAGTCATTTGTTATGCTCCAAATTATTTTTAAGGTGTAATTTCCAGTCAGATAACTCAAGAAAGCACAATTTGTGCTGTCACCTCTGACTTCTAAATGGGTGCTGGAAAGACACACAAGCAGCCTTCCTGCCTTCTTTGCAGGGGACTTGGATTCAAACACACCTTAGGGGTTTAAGCAGTCAAACATGGTAGGGAACCAATGGCTTTCATGACAATATAATCACTGTCACATGGCAACATCCTCTGAAATATATCGAAAGGTTATCCACGATTCATTCAGATAATAAGCCTCATCATTTAGGCTGTCACCCTCTTTCCTTTCAGGCTGGTTTAATCTCCACAGCAGTAAGTCATCTGGAAACTACATGAGCAACAACCCAGGACTAGAGAGGTCTCGGACAGAATGTTGCACATGAATAAACAATTTTTTAGCATACTAACACAGCTGTAACAGCAAAAAAGCCTACAAACTTGATCAACTGACTTATTGCATTTTTTTAAATACCTTCAAATAATTCCTTGATCCTAAAAAAATAACTAACAGAGCAAGAATATAAGGAAAATGAATGAAGGAAAACATACAGGACCGTAAAACAATGTACATGCATTTAATAAAAATGTGTGTATGTGTAAGCATAACAAATATCATATCTAGCTTTTGACTTCAGATTATAAACAAAACAAGCAAGATTGGAAACACTATATATAGTCTTGTTAGAGCTTCCATTTTGCTGAAGATTTTAACTTCAAACATTGCATTACAATGATCCTGAGTTCTTCAATATTCCTATTCATAGGTAGTTTAAGCAAGTCTTCTACAAGGACACAATCTGCGTTGTGAAGAGTCAGATCCAGCACAGCTGAACAGAAGGGGCTCCTGCTGCAGGCCACAAAGACGACCCCAAGGGCTATAAGAAGGAAACAAATGATTGGCTTCCTGCATCATGCTGGAGCAGCTCAGTCCAAGCCTGCAAAACAGAATAAAGGTGATAAGTTTAATAGTATTACTGCTCCATCCTGTTTCCTCTTTCCATTGCCCCTTGATGTCATAAGATGGAGTAAAGAAAGCTGTTAAATATCAGTCAACTCCTTAAAGATCAACTTATCTCATAGGGTCCCATGGACAACATTTTTTATTTTTTAATTGTATGGTATCCACTTTTGTAATGCACCTGATCATAAGCAGGACAATAGGCCAACAGTTTTGCTAAAATCCATGAACCCCTTTCTGTAAAATTACTGTATCTGGAACAACTTGGTCAATGTTTCCCTTTTTTCAAGTTCAACGTAAACGTTTTATAAATTATGCATGAAATCCTAACTTGTGGACTTTAACATTCTGATAAATTATTGAAAACTTAAAAACAACCTGAACTTAAACCATCTAGGCTCATTTCAAAACAAAGTCTATCCTTCCACCAACACACAGAGAGAAGGACAGTAAAGGAGATAAACAAATCTTCTAATCTCACTTTATCAGACAGCAGCACCAAATTAATCAGAAATAGATTATCATACTACAGTAAGAAAGACATTCAACAGGGTTGTTATGTCTTTAGCAAGAGGGTGAGTCAGTGTGTAGGGTGATGGAGTTACAAGAAATAAATTAATAGATACTAACTCTCTGTTTCAGGTTTTGGGAGTCATTCTACTTTAAATAATTTCCAGGAATCAGAAGTGCTTTAGAATTAGACTGAAAAGAGACAAAGAGTTGTAAAAGTCTGGAAATGTTACAGTGAAAGCAAAAGAAAATACACTGAACAATAGTTTTGGTCCTGAAGAAAAGTACTTAGAAAAGCAATATGGTTCTAATCACCCAATTTGAGTTTAAAACTCACTTGTAACCCAAACCTCAAGATCAATTGATAATATAGAAAATATACATTCTCAGCATTGAGTACTTTTTATGTATTACATCTCACATTCTTTTTTTGAAGATCTAGACAGTTTTGATGTTCTAAGATAATCTATATCCTCCATGCAGTTACTAAGATGTGATGCAAGTGTAAGAATTTGTGGTTTTGGAGCTGGAAAGAATAGCAGACAGGATCTCAGAAAAGGCATGATGGACTAAATGACATAAAAATGGAAAGAATAAAACCAGCAGCATTGCAAAAAAAACAGAAAATGCAGCTTAGATGGAAGAATGGGGAGAAATGTGGGGAATAAGGGACATGGTAATGAGAGGATCCAGGGGAGAGAGAAATGCCAACAGTGAACTTGAATACAGAGGGTAGTGTGGATGAAGACTCTGGGAGCTGATAAGTTTATCTTAAGATGATGAGGAGCAACCAAGGCTGAAGGTGTGCCACGAGACTAAGAACAGGTGCTGAACTAAGAATAAGGAAGCAAACAAATGGGAGGCAAATACGAATCCAAGGGGATAAAGCTAGAATACAGAGAGAACCAAACACTGGAATAAACTAAGAAACAAAACAAAAATGAATAAACCATTATGGAAACACCTTAGAGACAATAATAATCATATTATCATAGGTATAATATGGCAGGATATGGCAAGACCTTTTAGGACACAGAGATACAGTGGAAACAAAGACAAGTAAAACCTAAACCTAACACCAAAGGTTCATGACATCAAGTTTAAACTGTTTTACTTTGTATTTATTTCTAAGTAAAGCATAAACCTACGGTGAACCTTCTCACCTGGTAAATATGTCAGGGGTGTTGAGGTGGTGAAAGAGAGCAGGTTCACACATGAGCGAGGAGTGCTGACACACATCCACACAGGCCTCACCCAATGGACCCAGGTGAACCTTTAGAACACCTTCTGGAGGCCGCATGGTGACAGATTTACCACAGAAGTCCTTCAATGAATTATAGACAGAAAAAGGGAAAACTTTATCAAGTCATCAGAATTTCAAATTAAAACAATTACATTTTTGTCCTCTATTGCAAAATCAAATATTTTGCAATTAAAATAAGAATGCTGGAAATATTTATTAATAAGAACGTTTAATTTAACAAAAATTGTTAAAAGGCCTATATCATGCAAAATCAACCTTTTTAAGTTTTAACTATGTTATAATGCTATCCCTTCAACAAAGTAATCCCCAACACTATAGTATTTTACTTGATTAATGTATGTCTGGGTGATCCTCGTGATTTCTGCTGTCTGAGTAGCAACCCCTTCCTGCCCTGAATAATTAGTGGCCATCACCGTTTGATGTAGAGCTGTTGTTATATAGGCTTTACAAGAAGCACCTTCCTTAACTGCACCAACCCTATCCAGTAAACAACATGCCCATTTCCTTTATCAGCGACAGGAGATGCGATGCAGAGCATAATTATTTAAGACTACAGTAAGTGGCAACTTATGCACCTAATCTACACAATGAAAGCAACTTTTCTTTTTTTAGATGTAGATAACGACTAAGTAGTGAAAATGAGTTTTCAGCTGCAAAAGGTCTAAGAATTTGTTAAGCCATGCTACAGAGGAGACATATTGCCTGAAGTTGTCAAATTGTATTTTTTTCACTGCTGGCTGCTTGGTGAAACTCGGCCTGTACTACAATGGATTGTCAGGGTAAGTAATTCTTAAAACTGCCATTATTCCAACAATAAACTAGCCAATGAAGAAGCTAGAGCAATGATTAAATCAAACTGCTTGCTAAACTGAAACAGCTTTGTTGCGTTAGCCTATTATAAATCTGCAGTAGTATGTTTTTCAACTTGTTATAATGCAGTTTAAGATGACATTAAGAAATGGGCAACAACCATAACAATGGAGCTGCACTAAAGGAAGCGTCCTTCTTCCAGGCTACAAAATTAGCACCAAAGACAACTAATATTTTCTAACAAATATATAACAAATATTCATTGTGCCAAAAGATAATATTGTCCTCATATAAATGCCTAAAGTTGACTTTTGAAGATTTGAAAAAGCATGGTATAAAACCTTTAATGTGATTTCAGAGGTAATGCATTTTACATTTTTACAGTAACAAGTTACATTTCCCATGTCTATGACTAAATCTTGGTTTGGTTTTGGGGGAACCCAATACCAGAGCAGCTTGGTCTGCTTTTTCTACCTGTTGACTGATATAGCGGTGTACTCGCTCCAACATTCCCAAACAAGTGAACTCTGGAGGAGTGAAAGGTTTCACCTGGGAAATAAAAAACATTGATAAACACACATTTATATGCTACTGTTACTGGAATTCATGACAGGAAAGGGTACAGGTGAAGGAACAGGGAAAGACATCATTGGCAGAACCTTTGCATGCTTAATTTATGCAACAAGGGTATTTCATGTTAACCTGACATAAGCCAAATCTATTCTGGGTAGTTTAATTTGAACTGTACAGTCTGGAAAGCCTCATGTAGGAAGTGTTAACAAAAGAAAGTGTAATTCTTTGAGATGATCGGGTAATTGCCACCCATGTCGAGTTTTTAGCCAATCGCAGCAGCTGTAGCAGCTGTACTCTGTTACATTCTTGATTTGTTTCACAACCAGTGGAGTTAACTATCCGGTTGGGTGGAAGGTGCAAAAAAAATCTTCCCATCCACAAAGGCAAAAATTCCTTTTTGTTTGCTCATTTTCAAAAAGAAATAGAGGCTATTCCACTTAAAACCACTGCAGCTTTGTTTGTTTTGCTTCACCATTCCGCCTCTGGGTGACGCATCGAAGTCAAACACGTCACTGCATTTAATTGGTCCAAAAATGTCTGTATTGAAGCTAAAGCATCTGTTGGCTTCTTGCAAGATGTATTTCTAAGAGTTTGTGAATCTACGGACAATTTGCTCTGCCTGCAAGGTTAATTCAATGTATCTGTGAATATTGTTGAACAAGCTGGAAACACTTTACCACTGAAAAACTTTTATTGTGATAGTCATTGTTTACTGGAATCAAATTAGCTTCTCTTGCATTATTAATAGTTAAAATAAATAATCTTCTTAAAAATCACAATTATGAAAATGGTACAATATGCCACATTCCTTGATTAAAAGGTTTAGCTTTAGGAAAAACCATCCAATGTGTGTATCCTGTAATATAAATTTTCTGCGAGTTAGTAAGTGGCCGCAGGGGATATGTTGGCATGCAGGAGGCTTTGACCAAGCATCAGTATTTGAAGAGTTGGGAGTGAGAATGTGTTAACCTCTGACAACGATGTTTCATTCAGGGAATCAGACGTTTGCTCTTAATTCTCACCTAAAAAAATGCTGTTTTAATATCTGATGAAGTCGATCTACAGTTACAGTTTCATATGAAGTGAAAGCGGAAGACTGCTGGTTCTTCCGCTGGTTCCTCATCTTACTTTTTCTCACCCTGGCTCCTTGATGGTTCCCCCCTGATGTCTCCATGGTTCTGGTTTGTGTTTGATTTTATGTTGGATTTTTGAATGCCTGTTTTGTTTAACATTTTTAAGTTGGATTTTTGGATTCCTGTTTTTGCTGCCTGATCTTTCATTAAACCTTTAAGAACTCACCCCTGCCTGTCAGCCTCTGCATTTGGGTCCTCATAAAAACCTCCAAACAAATCGTGACATATTCACCAATGTGTGTTTACGAGTAGCATTAATATAGAGAAAAAAATGACATATAGCTCTCTAAGCTTTCCGGTTTCATGTTGTAACCATATACAGTACTGATAGATTAGGAGCTTTTCTGCACTGTGGTTTTCACTTTCTACAGGAAGCAGACAGCAGGCAAACAAGAGTGCATATGGATCTGGATTTGAAAGTAAAAAGATGAGCAGAAGAAATAAGGTTAATGTATATTTTATGTCTAACTTTTTGCTTTTATTCTAAATTACTATAATAACCTTTAGGTCCATGTTTGAGTAAAACGTTCGGTAGGTTTAAGCAAGTAAATTGAAAATGACAACAGTTATAGTGAGAACTACACTTTCAAAAAGCAACAAAGATAATAGGAGGGAATTAAATTGAATTGAAATACCACTGAATTAAATTATTAATATGGTTACTGCTATATGATATAATTATCTACGATTTTTTTTTAAACCCTTAAAAGTGATGAACCTTTTTACACATTTCAACTATGAACACTCAGTAACAACAATCCTGTTGGTTAATTAATTATTGATTCATTTAATGTACCTCAGTCTGTAGAATCTGCTTGACCGCTTCCCTAATCTCCGTCCTGTTGGTCATGTCCACAGTCCACACATATGGTTTAGCTATGAATTTCTCAGCATAAGGGTGCTGTGAAGTAATCTGGGATTCGTAGTTTACAGTTTGTACTTATTCACAAATACTATCAACAAATCAAATGCTCTTTTTAATGTACTCATTTTTTTCTGTACCTGTCTGGTAGTGGGCTTCCCTCTGTAGAAGTCATTGTTGTGGGATGAGTGAGGAGGGTCAAACCGTGGCTGAAGAAACACACAGCCCAGAGCTATGGCCTCAATAGGAGCAGGACCCTCATAGGGAAATCCTAGACCTATAAACACCTGTAGGGAACAACAAAAGTTTATGCTTAATGTCACGTTTATATTTATTTTCTTTGGTGATATATATTCACTATAACTTGCAGAGAAGAAAAGTTTATTTTTTTTCTGTTGTAAACGTATATATGACCTTTGTCCTGCGAAGAAGCTGCAGAAACTCTTCCTGGGACAAAAGTCCGTGGTTTTTGACGAAACTGGGTAGCTTAGAGGCGAGTCCAGGAGGCTGGTAGACTGTGCCATGAATTTCCAATTCCTCGCTGATTGTTTCCACATATTCCGATTTATCCTGGTATATACGTACAGTTAAACATACAACTGAAAAACAAATATTTTAAATGTATCATGACATTATTTTTTCGCAGTGTCTGAGAGTAAATCAGGCTAACCTGCCCTGTTTTAGGTCATTTAGAATAAAATAATTTTTAAAAATACAATGAGTTAATAATATTTAACATTTTCAATGTATTATAATTTTCTGAGTCATTTAATGTCATTTTTTTATTAACTCCAAGCCATAGTCATCAAATGTATGATCAAAACTGATAAGTATGGCTATCAGCTGAACCAACAATAAAGATAACCTGAAGGCAGAGATAAAAGTAGCTTGGGTGTCCATTATATTTTAGCAAAACGGAGTCGCTCTGATGCAATTATTTGATTTTAACTGAGCCCCAACCCCCTAAAAGATGCATAAAAAATAAAATTTCTCTTTTTATAACAATCTTAAGTAATATTTTCTTTTTTTATATATATTTGAGGTTTTCATTACCTGTAAACCACAATTATCTAAATCACAAAAAAGGATTGGAAAAGTTTTACCCCTGAGAATAAACAAAAAAAATAGTGATATGTTTCATATATTTTTGTGTAATAATAATAATGTCTAATTTACCTGGAACTGTGTTTCTTATTATTTGAAGTGGACCTTTTCCTAATGGCTGAAAAATGTTTTTGTTTCAACATCACAATCGTTCCTGCATATAACCGAACTGACAACTAAATCCTGAAAAAGTGTTGTTCTCCTACCTGCCACATGTATTCCTGTTTTCCATAGACCACTGCTATCTTCTCTTTCTTGTAGCTCTCTGGCTTGAGCTCATCACCCCTCAACTCCTTCTTTACCGCCTCTTCACTAACAAAGCCAAGGAAGGAATTGTCAGGAGTATGAGCTGAGGATGACAGGAGACAATGAAGCTGGAAACTGGCTAAAAATAAAACATTAACTTTAATCAAGGCTCCACATCAGTTCTAAGAATTTTATTCGGTGATCAAGTTTTTGAGTCAACCCAACTGCTATGGTTCAGATCGGATTGTATTCAACTGCTAGGACAGCTTTAAGTCTTGTTGGGTTACATCTGCACTGGCTTTACCAGAATAATTTAAATAAAAATGATGTTATTATATTTGTGATGCTGTTTACATTTTTTTTATATCAGGCAAAAATGTTTTATTTTAAAATCAGTTGGAAACAATTTTGTAGAGTTAATGATATTTCAGAAGGAAAAGATGAACTCTGGATATAAAAGGAGGCTCAGTGTTTGGATAGGCAACTGCTTTCTGACAGAGCGGGGAAGGCGTTAGGGATGAGTATTTACTTTACAAAGAGTTTGCCAGGAAAGGTAGGAGTAAATTCTGCCAAAATTGTCCTCATCTATCCAACACGAAATTTCCTGCAGGATCTTTTTTAACTCCACTTATCTCCAACACCTGTCAGAGCCCATAATTTCACACACACTCACACTTCTCAGGCTGAGAACTGATAGACAGACATCATCAAACAACATGGGGAAACATCACATTGTATCACGGCTTTTTTTAAGTGCTTGTGTCTTCGTCTGTTTCATTTTGCAAAACCCAATCTCTGCCACATTACTCCCTTTTTGTTTTTGTTCTTATCATCTCTCAGCTTTCTGTTATTTTTCCTTGAACATTCTTAACAAGCTGCTTTACGTCTTCTCACTCAGCAAGAAAAATAAGCTCCAACGTTCCAGCATGACAAATGAAGAGGGGGTTCTCTACTCACAGCTTCCAGCTTGTATCCATCCTCTGACAGGTTGGTAATTATGACCAGTTAAACAGTTGGAATGAGAGTTTGAAACAGAGTTTTCAGCTGTGTGCATAATGGGAATATACATACAAGTAAACCGACTTTTAAAAGTATTCATATCTCTTAAATGTATTTAGTAGCATCATATACCACATTTTCAGTGTTTTATTTTAATTGTAAGCCTATTGCAAGAGAGGGGCATACATTTAAAAATGAAGGAAAACAATGTTTTTCATATTTAAAAAAAAAAAGCAAAAGTTGTCTGTGAGTGTGTATATGACTCCTCCCTTAGTTTCTACATAAAGTTGTCACTTTTTGCTGCACCTACAGTTGCAGGTTTCTATCAGTGTGTTACACTTTTACCAATTTAGCTTTGCAAACTTTCTAAAGATCAGTCAGATTAGATGGAAAGCTTCTCTATGTTATGGTTCTTCCTTTTGGTTTTCTTTGAGTTTTCAGTTATTTATGTATTCAATTTTCTTGGTTATTGGTTTCTTTTCCGTTTTGTGTCATCATAGTTATTTTTCTAGTTATATTTAAGCAGTGTTGTGTTTTTCGAGTTGCTCTCTGTTGCCCTCTTGTGCCAGTCTCCTTTCCCGATCTGCACCTTCTCCCTGTAAGCTTTTTAATCCAGTCTTTGATCTGTTTCCCCTATATAAACCTCGTGTGCAGTTCCTCAGTGCTGGTTTAGCTTCTCATGTTTGTTTTCCCCTGGTGTCTATTGTTTTTTGGTTTTCTTTTATATCGATCTTGGATTTTGCTTCTGTTGCCTTTTGCACCTTCAGCAAAGCTAATCTCCGCCTCCTCATCTCTGCATTTGGGTCCTCAACCAACCTCCACCCTACCTTGACACTCTAGACATCCGTTTGCAATTCCTTGTAAAGATTGCCAACTGGATTTACGTCTGAACCTTTTTGAAATATATGATATTGCATTCCTGGTATTTTTGTTGGTCCATGTTCATTAATCTGTCTTCCTAAAGATTTCATAATGCCCATAAAGATTAATGAAAGAGATGGCTTGAATTTCTTCCATCTCTCTTCTCTTTCCTCCTGAAATCTTGGCACATTCTTTTTCAGTGATATGGGACTTTGGGGTTTAGTTAAATTATTTCAACTTTTGAGACGTATATCAACAGCTGTAAAAACAAACTTGATTAAGCATCAAAATTAATATCCAAAGATAAAAACGGCAAAAAAACATCCAAGGCCACCAATTAAAAAAAGTCAGAGAAAGAAACTTTGACCCAGGAAAAGAGGAACTGGAGATTGTTTTTATAATGTCATCAATAAATGAACAGAATTTGTTTATGACATTGCAGCCAACATGCTGCCATCTTGAGCCATTTAATCTTAGTGAATGGCGATTAGCTGTATTGATAGATTTTACAACCATCAGTCCATCACTGCAGCTCCTACTGTCTTGTTTATGTATTCTAAGCTCTTGACTTTTTCTCTGATTAATGTTCCCCTTGATCTTTTGCCAGTTTATGAGGTGTTTAAAGCTTGGGATATTGTGTTTAATACCTTAACTTCAACCTTCCCCACAATTCTCTTATGACCTGTCTATGTATTCCTTGATCTTCGTGATGCTAATTGTTCTCTAATGTTCCAAACATAAGAGGCCAGAAACAGAACAGCTGCATTCATCACTACCTTCAAAAGGCAGTGCCTTTGAGGGCGGCAGGGCTGTGCACATCCCGCCCCCCCTCCTCTTGGATGAACTGTACCGTAACTCAATATTTGTCCCAATGGAGTGCTTCTCCGGGCGGGTGACAAATAAAGCAGTTGTGTTTTTGAGAATGCACCCAAAACTTTTAAGATGTCTAGTTGTAAAAGTAAATAGATAAAAGCTTTTGAGACCTTGCTTTACATCTTCTTCCTCTTCCTACATTTGAGAACTCTAAACCTTATGAATTACATAAAATTAAGCTGTTGGTAACATGACAAAATATTAAAACATTTAAGTTTTGTCAGACTCTCTGTCCTGCACAGTAGAGCCTCACAGCCACATTACTTACGGAACATGGTCATATACTGCAGAGGTTGAAGACCCCAGCTGCCCCACAAGGTTTTATATCCATGACTCTGTGCATAACTTGCCAAATTAAAGGCTGGTTCTGTGCCGAACGAATCCAGGATCCTGAAACGGCACCTAGGAAAGCATAAAGGCAGTCTTTCACTGTCGATTTTCAAACCATACATTTATAACACCATGAACTAAAACCTAAGTATGATAAATCCACTGCTACTTTAGTGGATAATTATGTTGTTAGAAGATGGTCATACTGGTAATGTTTGAAGGCCAGTCCCATAGCTCTATGTAGGTGGGCAAGCCCATGGTAGTCTGTATAGATGAGGTCAAAGGTGAGAGGTCTCTGGATTGGACAGCTGCCATGACCTGGAGCAGCACCTATCAGTCTGGATGTATCACAGCATAGAAAGAACACCAATAATATGGAGCATTAAGGATAATAAATTACAGGAAATAAAAAAATACATCCAATATGTATAAAACCTATGCAATTCATTTATGCCGTTGGTAAATATCTTCCATTAGGATTCACATTCAGTGAGTTTGACTGAAAAGCAGGCACATTTATCTATTACATGGGGTTAAATGGAGCAAGAATGAGACAGATCATGATCTTGTTGCTCAAATAAAACACACATAAACACTCAAGACAAATATAATCAACCTGAAATATTCAGGACACCATATGCTGAGGTTTTTTTTATTTGTTTAATTTTCTTTTTAATCAGGCCCACCATTCTTATCTTTCAGATCTACAAGTATTTATGGGTCCCTCATTTTAGAAGAAATCAGATGACTCTCTTTGTTTCATTAAAAATATTGAGTGTTAAGGTTTTCTTGAGAAGACAAAAATTAAATATCTTTTTTTATAATTATCTTAAAATAAATAGTAAAAACCAAATGTTCTGAATCCGAAGCATTTTCAGTTTGATATTTTTCCCCTTATAGCAAAATGTTGTTGCATTGTTAATATTTTTGAAGATGTCTGACCGATGTAGCTGATGTTGTGAGGTGCTGAAGGTCAGGTTGTGTCCCAAGATGGTGAGACAGGCGCTGAGGTCAGCCCACTGGACCAGTTCTCCAAGAGGACCCCCTCTATTCACAATTGCTTCAAAACGCTGACCAACACTGCCAGCAAGCGCGCCGAGATAAAGCAGCACCTAGAGTGAAATGGATTAACATTCATATTAAATACACAATGTACTCTTATGTTTTTTATATATATATATATATATTTCTGTGTAGAAGACGCGTTATAATATATAGAAGGCTTTTCTACAGCAACAAAAAAACACAAAGCTATAAACCATTACTGAGGTGTCAGCTGAAGAACACAGAACCAGTTCAGACTATAATCCTGAGTGTAGACAGTGGATGTAGCCTCACATACTGTTCATAAAAAAAAGGGTTGCAAAAAGTGAAAGATTGCCTTTTGTGCTCTCTTAAAGCTATAGCGCAGGATTTTTGCCAACTTTTGAAAAGACTCACCATCTCCACTTTAAACAAAAATGCACATGCACAACCATGTACCCGCTCCGGAGAGGGAACGCCTATTAAACGCGTGTGAGAGCATGCACAAGCCCATTTCTCCTTGTGCATGCTGTTTAAAAGCTGCTCCTTGCATCGCTCATACAAGCCTTGTAATTTTTCCACTATGTCAGACTCACCACCAGTAAGTGAAAATGGGGACGAGCACGTAGGATGAACTTATATAAACATCACCAGAATGATTGACAATTAGGAGGACCACTTATTTTGATGATCCACCCAAAAAAAGAACCTCCTCCACTAGGCTCAGACTGGTAACAATTTTTAGCCCTGGAATTTTTCGAACTAAACAGGCACACTTACTTTACTGGCTTTGGTTATTATAACAGTGACTGCTCTTGCGTAACATCAGCAGGGTTGCCAGATGTCACTGACTCACATTTTCCAGTCCAAAAAATGTTCATAAACTGCCTCGATGTACAAAATCTCTCCCAATTGGAACCAAAGCCGATTGATCTCTTAGGCCATAAATCTAAAGACAAACATTTTTTACCCATAGATGGCCGTCCTAAACTGCCAGATTGGGAAAAATCCCAACTTGACAACAATGCACATAAGACGGGAAATGTTAGCCTTTAGATGCAAAACCCCATCATGCACTGCAACATATTTTTGCAAAATATTCTAACATAAATTTGCCAAATATTAGAGGAACATCGTAGTTTGGTTTAAAGAAAGCATTTTGGTTTTCTTATAATTTAGTTACAGTTTGAAGAAATAGAAAATCACACCATATGACAACTGTCACAAGGATGTGCATGACAAGGAAGGGCTGTATATACTGCATGCATCATTTAAGTAGTTAACCTTGTATTACATCTTGAGCTCCTTAAGTTATTTACAGTCACAGGTAGGTGCTTCGGCCGGAGAGTAGGTGTTGGGGCCGGTAAGATTTAAGGCAGGCCAATCCCTCGCACAGTGAAATTAGGACCGGCCCACTGGGTAAATGCCGATATCACAGATTACCGGTCCGAGTCTGTCCTCCACTATACCTTTAAGAGGGAGTTTTTGCACTAACAATAAGAAAAATGTAATATTGATACCAGCTCACCACCATATTTATTTTTCTCCAAACTACTCATTCTCATTTCATATTTAACCAACATCTCACATGTTAATTTTAAGCTGTAGACATTTGATACCCACTTTGTACCTACCTGTGTCTTGTGATAAATTTGTTTAGACTTTGTTAGTGACTAAATAAACCCAAACTAGAGGTAGAAGAAGAAGAGATTATTTCTTTTTATAATAAAAGTAGCCAATAGACATTTATGGTGCTTTGCAGTATTGATATTTCTAAATAATGAGAAAAGCTGTACCTTCATCTGAGGGGTGCCTGTCATCTTCCCACTCTGCTTCATTCTTTTACCCGCCCATGTCCACCTTTCAGACATCCTCTTCACTCTGGATTGGATAAACGTAACTGCAGGGCTGCTGCTGTTGCTGATCACCTCATACAGTGGGCTCAGAGTATCACGTATGAAAGTCTGCAAATGACCAAACCATGAGAACAAAAAAAACTTTCTCTGTTTCTATAAATATTTTGACTGAAAGAGTTATTCATAATGTTAAGAAGTTACCTTCTTTGCATAAGAAGGGGTTATGGGATGCCATGGCACTGTTGTGTTATTTATTTTAGGTTGGGCTGGACAAAAGTCTTCTATCTGACTAAGATAACCTAATATTGAGCAGGTGGAGCCATCCACGCCATAAAATGCATAACAGGGGTCTGACTGCCACTGTGCACTCAGGAACTGGAGAAAAGACAATGCATTATTTTTACAAGTTAAAATGCAAACAGTATCACTTGCACTTTTATTCATTCCCCATCAAATATGGAGGAGCTGGAGATATGCACAGCTGAGATGGAAGAATCTGCTGACAGAACATAGGAGAGTCATACTAATCACAACGGGCCTCTATACATGAATGAAAAAAAGAAAGCTACTTTAGAAGAAAAAAAAAAACAGATGTCCTGTATGCAATTTACCACAAGCCATGTAAGAAAGACAGAAAGAGCCTTATACCCAGAAGGTTTGCACCTCTTAATATGTGTGCATCAATTTTTAAATCATCTGCAACATAACCACTTTTTGCACAAACTAAAAATCAATTACAGGTGAAATTTAACTCCTCTAATTTGGAATTTTTGAAGATCAGGCCCATATTGTTGAAGAAGATGTTTTCATCAGATGAGAGTAAATTCAAACTTTTGAAATTTGCTTGTAAAATGCAGATTGTTGAAGCAAACGGATACTGTGAACACAAAAGGAACAAATGAAACATGGTGATGGCAGAGTCATGCTGTTGGGATGCATTCAATCAGCAGAGATAGAGAAGATAGAAAGATGGAGACAGAAAAGATATATATCAGCAGAACCAGAACTGCTGGAATCAAAGCATATTTGAGTATTAGAACACACTAGTCAAAGTCCAGATAGGAAACCAAATGTAAACTATGGCATGAAAATGTATATTCACTGATGCTCTCCATCCAACCTGACTGAAATTGAGAAATCTTTTTAAAAGAATCCACACATCAGTGTAATAAATGTAGAATTGGGTGAATGCGGTTCAAGTATAAAGTATCTTGAGGCGTTAATGTGAAAATGGCAATAAAAATTAAGTTCATGTTCTATTTTTCAAAGTACTTGACAGAGTAAATGTAAATACATGCCGCCCAATATTTTTTTAATTAGTAAACAAGATTAAAAACCATTTGCAACTTTCTGTTAAGTTCTAATTAATGCTCTTAGTTGTATCACTATTTCGCATTCAATCCCAATAAAATAAGTTAGTGTTTGTGGTTGTAATGTGACAACATGTGAAAATGTTGGGGAATGGGTACTTCAACCTGGCGCTATAAATGGTAAATAATAAATTGATGGTGGATAATCATCATGGTTATCTGAAAAATCAAAACCATAATCTTATATAAAGCTCATGCTGACTCAATTAGTATATATATAAAACTTTAAGACTGGCAAATACCTTTACTACTACCATACCAGTGCACATGCAGAGCCTTGATGTTTATGCTTCCACATGTTGTACATTTACACCTTCTCACCTCCACCTTCTCTGCACACAGTGGAAACGCTGGATCTGTTGGCACCTCACACTTCTCATTAAGACCTTTGGGGAAGACAGGAACAAAAGACACATTGTGTATTTACTTTAACATGAACAATGGACAATCACTTTGATATACAATGTCTTAAATGAAAAGTGCACAGCCAAAAGCAGCCATTAGCACATTGTGTACTGTAGCACTGCCATGTCTGTGACTGGCATTAAAACGGGGGCAATGTGTTCTCAGAGGCCCCTTCCCGTAAGCCCCCAACCATCTCCAGCCAATGTCAATCAAGTGGAATGAGTAGACCCATGCACACACACACCTGAGCCACCTGCTTCATACCAAACATCCCCATTTATGCTGGTAGCCAAAGCCAAAACATACAATCTTGACTGTGTATAAAAACCTCTTAAAACGGGGGAAAAAACGATAAGAAAACTTTTAGAGGCAGAGCAAAGGTGTGTAGGTCTAAAATTAGGACATGCTTTATTGGTTCCTTACTGCAAAAACAAAACCACGAGTAGACAAGCTGGTGAAAGGACTCCTGGGTAATACAGATGTATTTTATGGGTGTGAGGTAATGTGAGAGGAGGTGGGTAAGGAGCCTGAAGGATCTGGCCATGGAAGTGTGTTGGATCCAGGTGGCATGTATGTACATGTACTCACATAGTAAGACCTGTGATTGCATGTGTGGCCCAAGTTTTATGTATTCCCCTTTAAAAACTAGTCAGGCATGAGTGCATGTCTACACGTCCCCACCACCCACATTTAAACATGTGGCGTGCAAACAAGTGTTTGTGACCCAGAGTCTCACCTGACACCTCTAAAGACGGTACTATATTTAGGTTTAAGGTTTTATTTTACTTATTTGGTGTTACCGTTGGACCTTTTAATCCTCTATCTGAGGACTTTATCTTCAGCCACTGGTGCCTACTGCCCTTTAACCCCTCATTAATACTCTGCATCATCACAGTTTATTAATTTCATTGCTTAGTTAACCTGTCCTGGGGCTACACTGCAAAAACTATCTAGAAATAAGTCAACATTTATTAAATTAAGTGTATCCCCCCTTAATTTGAGGAGGAAAATAAGATTATTTGCCAGTGGAATTACTGTTTTTTGCTCTTAAAATATGATAACTAGATAATATTCAATTGAAATAAGACAATGTAACAGTTTTTCTCTTCTTTTTAAAGGAAATTGTCTTGTTTCATTGGCAAAGGGTTTCACTTACCTCCTCAATTCAAGAATAAAATCACTTATTTTAAGAAAAAATGGCTTATTTAGATTTTAATTTAATATAAACTGTGTTTGGCTTAGAATATCACAATACTTCTGCTGGTGGCAAAAAAAATAAATAAATACAACTTGGTTGCAGCTCAGTTGACACAATTTAGAATTAAAATACTACAATAAACATAGTTTGATTTTAGAAGCAAAAATCTGAAGTTTTTTGACACAGAACCAGAAACTTTAGTTAAACTTTAAATTTCCTAACAAGTCCAGTCTGTTAAAAACCAACTTTAATCTGTATTGTTTGCATTAGTTTTATAGTTTCATGGGTAACAAAATTACAAATAACCCCTAATTTTCTTTTTTTTTTTGTTAAAATACAACTACAACCTATAGTGTATGGTATTTTTGATTCAAGTGTAAATTGTAAAAAAAAAAATAATAAAAAAAAGAGAATACAGCACTTCTAAAAATAAAAATTGTGAAGCTTTTTTTCAGAGATGGGAAGTAACGAAGTACAAATACTTCGTTACTGTACTCAAGTAGATTTTTCTGATATTTTTACTTTACTACTTATTTTTATGGCGACTTTTTACTTCTACTCCTTACATTTTTACACAAATATCT